CTTTCTTTCTTTCTTTCTTTCTTTCTTTCTTTCTTTCTTTCTTTCTTATTTCCCTAGCAAGAATACGAATCTCTAAAATTTTAGGGAGGCATATTTGTCTGGTGGGAAGTGGGAAGCAAGAGGCAGATTAGGCAGGGAGGGGGGGTGTTCTGCTGGAAACTCCCTTTTAGCTCTTATAACTAAGCTTATGCACAGAAGCAGAGCCTTTGTGGCATTGTCATATTGATGATTTTGCCTGTGTGAGACCTAAGGAGGATGTCCTGGCCTGTTTCACAAAGGCCTCCAGACCTCCATTGTCTCCAAGGGACCATGGCCGATGCTCTGGGGGAGAGGGACCGTGCACATCATTGTCCAACTGCTCTGAGACCAGCCAGGAAGGGACCCTGAGCAGCCACGCTGTCCGGATGGCTTGGAAGTTGTACCCACTCCCTGGCCTGGAGGAGCACGTCTCCCTCTGACCCAGATGCTCTGCTCTGTTCTTGACACGTGCTCTCTGTGCCAAAGACCCAGGGAGCCTGAGGCAGGAAAAACACATTCGGAGATCGAGCAACTCACCGCAACAGGTATTAAAGCCTGTACTACAGAGTTAAAATATTAGTTGTTTGGGGAGGAGGAAGGAGGGCAGAAGGGAACAGGATGGGGATGTTGGAGGTGGAGGGTGGGTGTTTGTATCCTATTTCAATATTCTGAGAGAACTGAGCCCAGGGTGTCTAAATTGAGCCCTGTAAGCCAAAGCCAAGGAAGCCCCGGAGCAGACTGAGCCTCCATCAGTTATCACAAGCGCACCCAGCAGAGAAAACAGCAAAACACTACAAACATTCTCTGAGGGGGTCAAGAAGGTGACGCTCCACTCTGACCCGGCCAAGGAGAGATGCTCTTATTCCATCCATGACTGTGTATAAGAAAGGACAAGGGGAGTGACTGGGGGATGGTGGGACGAGGGTTCCAGACTGGCTAATGGCACTGTTACTGAAAGAAATTCCACTCGGGGTGTGAGCTGTAGACTTTCGAAACATCACATCTCACTCAATAAAAGCACATGTTGACATCACGTGCTTCTGCTTATGTGTCTCCCTACCCAGTGCCTCCAACTCTCAGGTGTGCATTTTCTACGTACGTGATGCTTCCCGGCCTGGGTTTCGGGCAGGAGAGTTTCAAAAATGTATCCTAGGTTTAGAAACCACAGTGTTTTTTTAAAAAAAAGCAACTGAATGGAATATTCAAGAATTCTCTTATTTGCACTGTCTTCTGGAATAAGATGTAAGCCTCCTAGGGAACCGAATAGGTTTCCTCACCTAAGAGCTGGGTTGGGGAAGCCGAAGGAACAAGCAAGGGCTTCCAAATCATCCTGTGGCCTAGAAGCAAGAATTAGGGGAGGTGAAATGAGTTTGCATCCACATCGGCCTTCTGGGGAATGTGAAGATCCCAGCCCTGAAGTGTGCCTACTGGAGTGTGCCCAGAGAACAAGGTTACCTTACCCAAAGTATCATTTTCACAGCCGAAGCTACTCCTTCACCCCCAGGGGGCTGCACGACCCACAGCAAGATCATGAGGGGCCCTCCTTGCAGGTAAGCTAGTGGCAACGAGGGCTGCCCCCTTCCAACAGGCCTTTCTCTCTCCTCTTCTGGTCCTTCACCCTCCACTCATCTCCTGCTCTGTGATACAGAGTTAATCGCATGACCTTTAACATGTAGTTATAGCTATTTATCCACGGATATTTTCCGAGTATCTACCACACACTGGGCACCATACTGGGTGCTGGGGATTTAATGAGCTACAAGACAGCCAAGATCCTTGCCATTGTGGTCTATGTCCCAGTGGAGGAGGTAGATATGAATCAGGTGAACAAACAGGTTAAGAGACTACAAATTGGTATTCATGCCTTGTGACGGGTTTTAATAGCGGGGGCACCTGACGTAGGGAAGGGAGTCACACTGGACCTAATGGCCAAGAAGAAGCCAGCCACATGGTGAGCTGGGAGGAAAGTGACAATAGGCAGCACACAGTCCTGATGTCCATAAGAGCTTGGCCTGACGAGGCCCAGCCAGAAGGCCATTGTGACCAGATGTGAAGCTAGGGAGGCTGGGCATGAAGCCATGGGAAGTGGTGTGGATTCAGAGCGTTCTAAGTGCAGTGGGAAGCCAGTGAGTGGTTTTAAGCAATGGATTAACCTGTTCCGATTTGTGGTTTTAAAAGATGATTGGCTCCAAGTGTGGAAAATGGATTGAAAGTGAGCAAAAGGAATAATGGGGAGGCCCTTTGGGAGAGTACCATAGGCTAGGTGAGAGAAAATAGAGGCTGGAGCAGAATGATGGCCATGGGTATTCTTCTTCTTTTGTGTAATGGAGGTTGATTTGGCTTCTCAACCAATGGAGGTTGGTTTGGCTTCTCTGAGAGCTCCTGGAGGACAGAGCTTGCTTTAGTCTTCCTAGGATGAAGGAGGTGTCCTACTCTTTCCCGCCAGTACCATCACATGATGCAACAAACTATTTCTCAGCTTGAGTTTCAAACAGCCTGACACAGACCACCTCCTGCCCCACCTTGGAGACACTACCCTCCATTTCCTCCTTCCCCCTCCTCCCAATGGCAGCCCCTTCCCAGAGCCCTTCCGCCTAGAATGTTCTAGTTTTGACAAAGTCTGACTATTCCTGCTAACTAAAATGCCTGATTAAGTGCCAACCCTCTGAAGGTCTTCCCTGACTCCCTGGGATAGCGGCAGCCATCTGCACCCCTGTGCTCTCCTGGCACTTTGTTCACATCTGGATTTTAGCACCTCATAACACTGTGTTGTAAACTCTCTGCTTGGTGTCTGTCTCCTAACTCGATCCCTAGCTTTGACTCAAGTTATGAACTTATCACAAAATCTCCATTTTTCTATAGAGAGTTGTCTAGACTGAGGACTGAGGTTTTGAACTTCATTGCATATGAAATCATGGTATTACATAGTTAACATTAATAAATCTTAGTATTGTGGATTTCTATTGTACTTTACCTGAGCCTTCTATTACACTTTAAGACCTAATATTTAAAAAGTTTAAATATTAAACAGTCCTGGTTAGGGAGCCACTCCCCTAATGAATGACAGGATGAGTGACCTGGAAGATCCGCCAAAAGGAATTACCCAATCTGAAGACAAAAAAGAGAAAAGACTGAAAAAACTGAGTAAGATTTAAGGATGGGTAGGGAATATCCAAAGTTCAGTATGAAGTCAATGGGAGTCTAAGAAGGAGAGGGGAGAGATAATGAGGCAGAAAATATATCTGACAAAATACTGGATAAGAAATTCCCAAATTTGTTGAAAGATCCAGAGCATAGGGAATCCCAAACAGGATAATTATGAATAAAATTGCATCTAGGCATATCGTAATTAAACTGCAGCAAAAGAAAAATAAAGGGGAAATCTTGCAAGTAGGCAAAGAAAAACGACACGTTGCATACAAGGGAATAGTGATTTAAAAGGCTGTGGACTTAACGATGATAGTGGTGGTCGGGGTGGCAAATGGACTTACACTGTCTCAAGGTTTCTACATTTTATGTAAAGATGTTCAGTACTAACTGTAAGTATACTGTAAAATGAATCTAAGGATTTTTTTTGTAATCCTTAGCTAAACCATCAAAGAAATAATGCAAAGTTATATATCGAAAAATCTAGGTGCACCTTGGTTGCTCAGCCCATTAAACATCCATCTTCAACTCAGGTCATGATCTAACAGTTCGTGAGTTTGAGCCCTGTGTTGGGCTCCATGCTGACGGTGGGGAGCCTGCTTGGGATTCTCACTCTCTCCTCTCTCTCTGCCCCTACCTGCCTCTCACATACATAAACTTAAAAAAAAATCTAATAACTAAAACAAAATTATGAAATATAGTCAAATAATCCAACAGAAGGCAGGGAAACAGAAGAATTAAGAATAGAGTGGAGTGGACAACAGAAAAGAAAGAGTATAATGGTAGACCTGGATACAATCACATTAATAATCACATTAAATATTAATGAACTAAATACCCCAATTAAAAGGCAGAGTTTACTAGATCTTTTTTAAAAAGCAAGACCAAGCTATATTCTGACTAGAAAGGATGGACTTTCTCACCCATATTCACTGAAGCACTATAGCCAAGATACAGAAACAGCCTAAATGTCCTTCAACAGATAAATGAATAAAGAAAAATGTGGTACAGATAGACAATGGGATATTATTCTGTCATGGAAAGGAAGAAAATTCTGCCATTTGCTAAAACGTGGATGAATCTGGAGGGCATTACAGTAAGCGAAATAAGCCAGACAGAGGAAGACAAATATTGTATGGTGTCACTTATATATGGACTCTAAAAAGAAAAAAAAAATCCAATTTTACAGAAACAGAGAATAGAATGGTTGAAGGGAGTTGGGACTTGGGGGGCAGAGAGGTGGGAAAAAACAGGATGATGTAGGTCACGGGTCATAAATTATCAGTTATAAGAATAAGTTCTGAGGCTCTAATGTACAGCAAGGTGACTACAGTTAATAATACAAGATTGTAGACTTGAAAGTTGCTGAGAGGAGATCTTAAGCATTCTTATCACACACACACACACACACACACACACACACACACACACACAGAACTAACTTTGTTAACTATGTGAGGTAACGGATTGTTAATTTTCTTGATCTTGGTAATCGTTCTACAATGTATATGTATAGCGTCACATTGCACACTTTAAATATATATACAATTATATTTGTCAATCATTCCTCAATAAAGTTAACAATAAATTTTGAAAAAGAGATAAACTTTAAGTACAATGGATCAATTAATAAGGAAGACATAATGATTGTTGATGTGTACATGACTAAGAATAGAGCCTCGAGATACATAAAACAAAAATTGACAGAATAGGGGTGTCTGGGTGGCTCAGTTGTTTAAGTGTCTGGCTCTGGATTTCGGCTCAGGTCACGATCTCATGGTTCGTGATATCGAGCCCTGCATCAGGCTCTACACTGACAGTGTGGAGCCTGCCTGGGATTCTCTCTCCCTCTCTCTCTGCTCCTTCTCTGCTCACGTGCTTTCTCTCTCTCAAAATAAGTAAAAAAATTTTAAATTGCCAGAATAAAAAAAGAAATAGAAAAATTTACAATTATAGTAGGATATTTTAATCCTTCCTACAATTGATAGAACCACCAGAAAAAAAATCAGTAAAGTCACAGAGGCTCTAAACAGCCTTATCAGCCCCTTCACTTAACTGGTATTTATAGAACACTATACCCAACAACTGAAAATATACATTCTTTTCTACTGCACACGTTTACCAAGAAAGACCATAACCTGGGCTATAAAACAAGTCCTAATAAAATAAAAAAGGATCAAAATTATACTAGCATGTATCTTCTAATCACAGGGTAATTAAATTAAATTAGAAATCAATAAAAATAAGGTACCTAGGAAATCCCCAATATTAAATTAAACCCACACTTCTAAACAACCCATGAGTGAAAAAAGAAATCAAAGAGAAACTAGAAAATATATAAAACTTAATGATCATGAAAATACAACAAAATTTGTGGGTTGTGGCTAAAGCAGGGCTTAGTGGGAATTTTATGGCTTTAAATGCTTATATTAGAAAAGAAGAAAGGTCTGAAATCAGTGACTTAAGATTCCACCTCAAACCCAAAGTAAACCAAAGTAGAACAAGTAATATAATAAATATAGTAGAAATGAATGTAATAAGAAACAGGCAAGCAATAAAGAAAACTAGCAAACCCCAAAGTTGTTTCTTTGTGAACAATACCAGCAAAAAAAACCTGATAAACTTTGTTAGAGTGCTCAAGAAAAAATAGAAAACACAAATTACCAATATCAGGAATGAAAGAGGGATTATCAATGCAGATTTTACAGGCGTTAAAATAACAAAAAGAGAATACGAGAATGCTGTGAAGACCTTTATACCAATAGTTTCTACAAAATAGATGAAATGGAAAAATCCTTTAAAAATAACAAATCACCAGTATTTACACAAGATGAAACAGAAAACCTGAATTGTAGGCACAGTAATTACGCTGATCAACTATTCAAAGAAGAAATAACACCAAAGTTACACAAACTCTTTCAAAAAAATAGAGGAAGATGGATACACTTCCCAGTTTGTTTTATGGTGCTGGTAAACTCGAATACCCAAACCTGACAAACACATACGAAAAGGAGGCTGGCCAGCATCCCTCACAAACATAGTTGTAAACACTCTCAACAAAATATTAGCAGATCAGACACAATAATATATAAAAAGAATAATACCTCATGACCAATAAGAGTATCCTAGGAATGCAAGGTTGATTTGACAGGAAAAAAAAAAAAAAATCAATGAATGTAACTCACCAAATTAAAATAATAGAGGAGATGGGGCGCCTGGGTGGTTTGGTCGGTTAAGTGTCTGACTTCAGCTCAGGTCATGATCTCACGGTCCGTGAGTTTGAGCCCCGTGTCGGGCTCTGTGCTGACAGCTCAGAGCCTGGAGCCTGTTTCAGATTCGGTGCCTCCCTCTCTCTGACCCTCCCCCGTTCTGCTCTGTCTCTCTCTGTCTCAAAAATAAATAAACGTTAAAAAAAATAAAAAAAAATAAAATAATAGAGGAGAAAAAGCATACGGTCATTCTGATAGATGCAGAAAAAGCAACTGACAAATACACCTTTATGATAAAAACTCTCAGCAATCTAGGAATAGAAGGGAGCTTCCTCAATCTTATAAAAGGTATTCTTAATAATGAAATATTGAACACTTTCTCAGTAAGTTTGGGAACAAGGCGATGATGTCCACTTTCATCACTTCTTCTCCACATTGTACTGACCACTACTCCTAGCCACTGCAATAAGGTAAGAAAAAGAAATAAAGGTTTTACAGTTCAGAAAGCAGAGTGGAAACTGTCTCTATTTGCAGATGACATGATTTCTTATGCAGAAAGTTCTAAAGAATCTACAAAACCATTGTTGTAATTAATAAGTGAATTTAGCAAGGTCACATGTTACAAAGTTAACATGCAAAAATTATTTTTATTTTTATAGAATTGCAACAAACAATAAAAAAGGAAATTTTAAGAAGTTCATTTACAAGAGTGACAGAAGATACTGAGGAATACATTTAACAAAAGCTATGCAAGACCTATACACTGAAAACTATACAATATTGCTCAGAGAAATGAAAGACATAAATATATGGAAAAATATACTGTGTTCACGGATTAAAAGAATCTGTGATGTAAAGATGTCAGTTCTCTTCAAATGTATTTATAGATTTTATGCAAAATTCCAGCAGGCTTTTTTTTGGTTGCAATTAATGAACAATTATAAAATTTATATGGAAATAGAACTGACTTAGGTTGCCTAGATATTTTCATGAACAAGGTTGGTAGTCTTTTACTAACTGGTTTCAAGTCTTGCCATAAAGCTGCTGAAATCAAGGGTACAGTATTGGCCAAAGGGCAGACATATAAATCAACACAATACAATAGAGCCACAAATGCACTGCTGGTGATTTTTTACAAAAGTCTAATTCAAAGGACAAAGGATGGTT